TGCCGCCGCCGCCGCCGCCGCCGCCCGTCCTGTGAGGCCCGGCCCGCCGCCTTCACCCCTCTCTCCCTCTGTGCCCCCAGGTCCGGCGAGAGGATGTCGGCGCGGTGCTGCGGGGCTCTGGTGGCGCTGGTGTCCCTGGCGTGCCTGGCGGAGGGCGGCTACTACGGCCTCAACATGTTCGCGGTGCAGACGGCGCAGCCCGACCCCTGCTACGACGAGCACGGCCTGCCGCGCCGCTGCATCCCGGACTTCGTCAACTCCGCCTTCGGCAAGGAGGTGCGGGCGTCCAGCACGTGCGGCCGCCCGCCGGCCCGCTACTGCGTGCTGAGCGAGAAGGGCGAGGAGCGGCTCCGCACCTGCCACCTGTGCAACGCGTCCGAGCCCCGGCGCGCCCACCCGCCCGCCTTCCTCACCGACCTCAACAACCCGCACAACCTCACGTGCTGGCAGTCCGAGAGCTTCGTGCAGCACCCGCACAACGTGACGCTCACGCTGGCGCTGGGCAAGAAGTTCGAGGTGACCTACGTGAGCCTGCAGTTCTGCTCGCCGCGCCCCGAGTCCATGGCCATCTACAAGTCCATGGACTACGGCCGCTCCTGGGTGCCCTTCCAGTTCTACTCCACGCAGTGCCGCAAGATGTACGGCCGCCCGCCGCGCGCCGCCATCACCAAGCAGAACGAGCAGGAGGCCGTCTGCACCGACTCGCACAGCGACGTGCGCCCGCTGGCCGGCGGCCTCATCGCCTTCAGCACCCTGGACGGCCGCCCCTCGGCCCACGACTTCGACAACTCGCCCGTGCTGCAGGACTGGGTCACGGCCACCGACATCCGCGTGACCTTCAGCCGCCTGCACACCTTCGGCGACGAGAACGAGGACGACTCCGAGCTGGCCCGCGACTCCTACTTCTACGCCGTGTCCGACCTGCAGGTGGGCGGGCGCTGCAAGTGCAACGGCCACGCGTCCCGCTGCGTGCGCGACCGCGACGACAGCCTGGTGTGCGACTGCAAGCACAACACGGCCGGCCCCGAGTGCGACCGCTGCAAGCCCTTCCACTACGACCGGCCCTGGCAGCGCGCCACGGCCCGCGAGGCCAACGAGTGCGTGGGTAAGTCCGCGCCCGGGCTCCGGGGAGAGGGGCGAGGCGCGCTGCCGTCCCGGGGCTCCCCGCACGCCGCTCCGCGGCCGCCGCGGCCTCGCCACCGCACAGAGAAGAGCCCGGCCCCGGCCCCGGCTCGCGCCTCGCGGGCGGGACCGTCCGTCGGGCCGTTTCTCCGGGGCGCGGCGCGGCGCGGGCGCCCGTGGCTCTTCCGAGGCTGATTCGCCGCGAGATGAAGGGGGGGCTGGTGCAGCTGTGCGCGAGGGGGCAGAGGGAAGCGGGGCTGGGGTGGGGCTGGTGCCCTTCTGTCATTTCTGCCTCGTGCAGAAGCACCGTCCCGGCCGGTAACGCCGCCGGTAACTAATAACTTGAGTCAGGGCAAGGCTGACCGGAGAAACAGCAGTGTGCTTGGGGAATGATCCTTTTGCACCATCCGAGGCAGATATGCAGACGCGCTTGGCTGTCAGCCGTACCGAGACCCGAGCTTAGCCCCTAAGCAAGAGTCCTCGAGTCCCAGAGGCCAGTCCTCGACTGACAGGCAGAAGGTCGCTGTCACCTTGAAGGGGGGGTAATGCATTCAGAGGTGCTTTTCTGTAGAAGATGTCAAGGTTTCACATGTTTCAACATCTTTCCCTTGTCAGGGTGGATTTGATGTTCAAGAAGGCCAGGGCACCAGCTACAGTTATGCCAGTGTAAGATGGGCACAGACAGTTCTGGGGGCCTCTCACTGTTCCAGTTCATGACCCCCACCGCTTCCACAAAGCTCCTCTTCCTAACCTGTGGCAGGCCTGCTGTTTTAGTCTTGGGATCCCACACAGCTCTGGCCACACACTTCAGTCCTGATCTGCGGCATGCCCTTGTATTCTGGTCCTGATCCATCCCAGCCCTGGCAGTGCCCCTTAATCCTGGCTGCTAGCATCTCTGCAGTCCTAAGCTTCCTCACCCACCTGCACCTCTGAGCTAATTCACCCTGTCCTGAAGGGACTTTCACTTTTGTCTCTCACCCAGCGTCCAGTACAGCTCTAACCTAACCTGCAGAACGTCTCTTCACTGGTTTTGTTCTCCACCACCACACATACTTCCTTATGAATACGGGAATGCCCCACCGGTCTAGTCCCTAGGGTCTTCTAGCCAGGGACTTGTCTTACAGCACATATGGGCAGTTTTGTACCCACCAGAGACTAGGGTGAGACTCAACTATCTCATGTTCACCTGTTAAGACTTGTTAACATTTAACATTATTTAATCACAACATCTTTCAGTAGAGCACTTCTCAGCAGAGCGTATCTTTTAGCATTTGCCAGTCCTGCTGCAGGTTCTCAGTTGATGTAAACTGGCTGAGCTATGCTGAAGTCTTTGGAGCTATGCTGATTTATACTAGCTGGGGGCTACTGAAAGGGCCGTATTATTTATTTATGTTTCAAATCCTTTTGAATGACCATACACAAGCCACTGGACATGATTCAGTTGCCCCCTTACATTGATTCAGCTGTAGCTCCATTGACTCTTAGGGTGTTACTCTGAAACTACGCCACCAAAGCCAGACTAACGCAGGAGGGAAACTTTTCCCTAGTGCATATCTCATTTGTGAATATTTAATCCAATTGTTTACACAGAAACTACATCTCACTTGTCCCATCTTCCAAAATATCTGCAACTCTGCTGATAGGAAAAACACTGTGCAGCATCTCTGAACAATTCATTTTTCCTTTTCTTAAATCATAATCAGATGTGGCTTTAAAGAGCACTGAATTTCTTAGTCTTCTTCTTGAACATCAAGAATAATAACAAAGAAAAGTACTGGCAAGTTGCTGCGATTCTTTGGCTGACTAAGCCCTCTCCCTTCAGAAAATTAATGCAGCTAAGATCATTTAAAATGAATACAAGTTACAGACATATGTTCTTCGTACAATGTTTGTTCAGCTATTGCTCTGTACATGTCAAGTCTACATTTGAGCAGAGTTCTATTCTGTAAATATGCACATACTTTCTCTGCACTTTTGATGAATTGGGCAGAGACAGGTGGATTTTAAAATTTTTATTATAAAATTCAATGCCCTTCATGTGGTCACATTTGTCTGTCACTTAGATCTGTGGCATCAGCAGCCTGTGCCTTCTGTGAGGAGGCGGTGGAGGAGACACTCTTCCATAATACCTGCCTTGATTTGCCCCTGGCTGCAGCTGCTCTTTGCCACCTTTAGCATCCTCTGCGATGTGCTAGGCTTGGACTTCTCTGAGACAACAAAGATCTCCTCTGTGCCACCCAGGAGCTGAGGGGAGCGGGATCTACTTGGTCAGTTTCCTGCTGGACCAAGTTGAGATGATAACCCTGAATTGCTGCAGGAACCAGCATACAGGGGCCAGCTTGGACAACGCCCATCAGCTCTTTTAGTTTTTGGTCTAGGCACGCGTCTCCTTTGTGCTCAGACACTTCACCTTCCAATACACAGGTTGTGTCATGCCGGGCTATCAAGGTGGGCACTATGCATGGTGGAAGACAGATAGAGAGATGGGCAAACAGACAAACTAGATATCAAATCCATCTTTTGCATTGAAGTCATAAGGTTTTCTTAACTGTGGAAACATTACTGATGTTGGTATATATAGGAAAGCTAGATTCTTCTTTAGTAAAATGTGGGCTTCCTTCCAGAAATATTCCAAAGCGGCGTGAATCAAAAGAGCATGTTATAGGCATGATGGCCCTCAGTGGAATCCAGGAATCTTTCGTTCAGCCATATGTTAGATCGTACAGAACTAGATCTTCTACTGGTGTAAATCAGCCTTGTTCTCTTGCTGTCATTGGAACTGTACTGATTTATACCATCTGAGAATCTGGCCCATTGTATATATGGAGGCATGTGAAGTCTATTACAAATCTATACACATGTACATATTTCCATGTATACATTTCCATCTGAAAACATGATGGTGCTGTTCTTTTTTCATAGTAATTTTTATTCCTGATGAGCTTATGGAAGGTCTCTCGATCCTTGTGGAAAATATTTTAGGCAACACTGATTTCTGCAGTTTGAAGATGATAAACTATATTCATAAATTGGCTGCTGAAGTTTAAATAAACTTCTCATGAAGTATATGCAGTTTTGTCTTTTACTAATGAGAATAATTTTTTAAAATCTTAGAAGGCAGATGCTTTGCGGGGCAGTACTTACTAGGCCTGTGGCTGGGTTTTAGTTTATGAAAATCAGTCCTGTGACTGAAACCAGCAGATTTGCATAACACAGCAGTAATTTAAAACACAAACGGTTGTATGAAATGAGTTCCTTGGTGCCCTGTAGTTCAGTTTTTCTGTTGTTAGTGTGTACCTGTGATACAATGGTCATAATTGCACGAACAAAGCTGCATAAGCATGCTCTTTATTGGACTGTCCTTTCAGTTGCAAGGCTCAAATGTTTTGCTACCAAAGATAATTCTGTAGAGCATAGTAGAATAGCTTTTATGCAGCATAATATTAGGATTTAATTGTGACTGTGTTAGTAAATTGAATCCATGGTCAAAGGCATTTATGGGCATACTAGGAAGATTTAATAAGCAGGAAAGGAAGGACTACAAAGGGAAAGGTTTGTCTCTTTACTCTGGGTGTATTCACTACACAAAAACTTTTTATATGCTCACAGTTTCTAGCCTTGTGTAAAAAGTGACTTATTTGAATTAATCATTATTGCTGTTTGTGTACACCAAATGCCACGTCTTCAAAGGAGATGGTAAGAAAGAATCAGTCTTCTGAGCCTGATTCTGATCCAACTCACATGAGAGTAAATCAGGAGCCTCCCAGTAAAGTCCATGGAAGTGTATGCGTGTAGTAGATGTAGTAGCAGGGAGAAGAGAATCAAACTGCTTGGATCAGGTTCATCAGTATGCTGTGGCTGCTTTGTGCCATCCCAGTGACACCAAACAGCTGTAAAAGTGGCTGAACCAATAAATTAGATTTAGACTGTTTTGTGTCACCATTTTGCTTGGCCGGGAAGCCATCTAATAACAAACCTATCTCATGTCTGTAAATGCGAGGGTTACAGGGAAGTGTAGCCTATTTACTCCTATCATGGGGGAAATCTGAATTCTCTGGGTCTGTGCACTGTGTGGAGTCCTTACCACTTTATACAGTAAAGAATAGCAGCAATGAAGGAGTTAACAGGTGCAACATTATTAAAGAGGCAGTCTCAGTGGGAAACGGCATTTCCAAGTCCCTAGAGTGAAGTTAGTAAATGCCCTTTAAATGTGTAAACAGTATGAAGCTGTAATTTATCTCAGCCTAAAGCAGCTGGAGCAGAGCCGCTGCTGGGATTCTCATTAACACCTAGGGGGCAGGAATCTCCAGCTACCACCTAGCCGAGGGGGCATTACTGTGAAGGCAGGATCTGGAGAACCGTAGTATGAACAATGCCCCGGGTTCCCCATGGGCGAAAGGGAGTTGCTTTCTACCAAGCAGCGCTACATTTGTTAACCACAGGCTGCTGTTTCAGTAAGCCCATTTCTTTCTTGTAATCTCACTGAATATTTGTCTTTTTAAAAGTGATCACCCACATTTCTCTCCCACCTCTGGCAGCAGGTCAGATGAGACACAGAAAAAGCTAGTTTAAATGCGTCTTTCTAGAGTGTCTGTTGGATAATTCTCTCTTCTTCCTGAAAATGCCAGTCTTTCTCACTACATTTGGTATCTTTTTTTTCCTCTTAAGATGAATTCTGTTTTCCATTAAAGAATGATGTTGTAGCTGTGATGGTCCAGAAATTATGCAAGAGGCAGGATTTTTTTAAGAGTGATATCTTTTATTGAACCAACTATGTAGTTGGTTCAATAAAAGATATCACCCCAAGAAATTCTTGCATTTTCTATTAAGTGAATTTATGTTTTGCAATGAAACAATGATCACATTCTTAATATTAATAACCTTATTATATGTTTACACTTCAAAAGTCCAGTTGATTTAATTTTCTTCTCAATCATCATGATGTTTTCTAGGTTTGTTCTGCAAAATAGAATGACTAGAAAA